GTTACAGAACCTTCCATGGTAGTTTCAAATTACAAGTTGAGTCTTGACATTACTATGAATAATTATATTGTTTTAAAGTTTCGAGAAACTTCATTTTTTTAAAAAGAAACCTTATCTTCAAAAGATTAATAGAATTATTGTCTGAAAATAATAGTAATGGTGTTTCATGTGAGTGTGTCTTTCATTTTGTTGTATGTGTAATAAAATAAGTACTTTTATTATATTTTGCAGTTGTTCTGATGCTAATGTAACAGCAGAACTTAGAATTTAAGAAAATTTAAAATTTCACTAGAACAATTTAATATTTCATCTGATTCTCACTTTAAATTTTAATTTGTCATAAGAAAATTTTAAATTTTCTTGAATGCTAATTCCTCCTGTAAAATTTATGTGTAATTGTTTTAATTCAGAAAACAATGAATAAATTATCGCTATAAGTTAAGAATATGATATTATTCATCTTGTGAAAAAACTAACGCAGTCAATACCGACACATGATATCTAATTACTTTAGTACCGGTGATTGTGATAAGCATGAGTAATGTCGGGTACTAGTCAAGGAGATGATTCACCAGTTTTGAAAAATTTTCGTCCATCTCCAGTGGAGTTCCATCATGCTATTGTTTTTTTTGTTGCAAATCCAATCAACTTTAGTAAAAATCTTCCAATCGTTCTCCTGAATCATTGACCTACCCTTCTCGAATAATTCTGGCGATCTCAGGATGCTCTTAAATAAAAAAAAATATTATTTTCAATAAACAGAGAATAGTTTCGTTTGTCATTGAGAGATTGATTCTTTAATAAAATAACCCACTTATGAAATTGACATCTCTATCCTATCAAATCAATGATGCATGAAAATTTATATTAGCGTGATATACTGAGCATAGCAGTAAATTCATTGTAGAACAAAGTTCTTCGTTAATATGGTTCGTAATATTAGTAATAAATACTAGAATGTTATAAAGTAAAATCTCTCTATTGTAAACACCATCGAGACTATTCAAAAGTATTCATTTTAGAGAGTGAAAGCATGTTTGTGCTGTGAAATGAAGAAAAGTTTTTCAGAAAATCCACTTCTATGTTAGTCTTAGATAAAGGTCTGGTTATTTTTGCACGTTGCTATACAAACTATTCGTACACTTGATCGTCTAGCTTTTTTTTTGTGCATTGACATCTTTTAATTTTCGTCTAACACTTTGATTCTGATTTGTTTCGTAATCATTTAAATATTTTGTTTTATGTTTTAATATGTGTGATATAGAGCCGAGGAATATATTATATGTTTTCAACCAAATCTCACTGTGATAAACCATTATCATGAAATAATAGTATTTATTCTTGTAAAGTAAGCTCGTTTCATGACATCATTCTTTACTCCACATACTCAAATCATACACAAAATACATTTTTAGTGCAAAAGAACCGGATAACAGAAAAGAGAACGAGATCAAAAGAACACTTTCACATTAGAAAAGTTATAATATCAAATATCACTCTGTTAGATCCGATACAATTCATAATTAGCAGGTGTTCACTAAGTAGAGATTTGACTGTAACATGGAAAGTTTTTAAGAATTTATTTATTCGAAACTTTACTATGAATTTCATTATGTATTTCAGTGTTGCATGCAAAAGGATGAGACATGATGAGATCAACTAATTTTTCAAGGTTATCTTCTAATACATTAAAAATATACTATCTAACCTTAAAAGATAAAGTCTGATGGATCTCTTTTTTTATTCTTATCTCCAAGTGCAAGAGGTATATCAATGACATAATTATCAAATAATCTTTTACATCATCACAATAGAAAAGTCTAACAAGCGACATTTTTTTTCGGATTATTCTATTAATCTTATCTATCTATGAATTTGTTTGTTTTAAATATATTTTCTAACGGACATAACGGAAAAAAACAATAAACTACAATTTAAATTTCATGTTGTACAAAGTCTCTATAAAATAAATCTTGTATATAGAGTAGAATAGCAATTGGTTGAATAAGTATAAGTGATATCCATACAGCCACATTTCCATAAGTTTTATTTTCACCTTTTACATGTCTAACAGCTAAACCCATTGGAACTTGTAATATCATAGCAAGAAAACTCCATGGACGGATCATACGTAATGGAACACTAATTAAATACTAAATAGAAAAGAATCATTAAATCTTTGATGAATAAAAAAAATTCATTCTCTTGAAAATTACCTCATGAAAAAAAGCACTTATTATAAATACAACAAGCGAACCAAGAGTTTTATTTAAACCAAAATGACTAACTAATGGATTATAAATATGTCTTTTACAAAAATCATGTACACTTGTATTCCATCGATTCCAAAATTCATATAAATCAGTTGCATTCCACCAATCACGATAAAATAATCTATCACCAAAACATAATAATTCAGCAAGTAAATTTAATGTTGAATGAAAATAAACATAAAATAATAATAACCATATTAAATGATTTGGTAATGATAAACGTAATAGACGTTCAGTATTTTCTAATATTGTATAATGATTAAGTGGACGATCAAGTGTACGTAATATAGGTAATATCCATTGTTGACTTAAACAATATTGTAATGAACAAATAACAAGTATTTCACCAAAACGTCGACATAAAAAACTTTTACGTATACATGGTGAACGTGGAAAATTTAATTCATAACAAAGTGTTGGTGCAAATAAAAAATAATAAAGATTTTTTATAGTTAAATTATTTGGATAAATTATTAAACCTTCAGATATAATTATAGAATTTATTTGATCTTGTTTTTTTTTAAATAAATCAATACGACATTGATAATTAATATGTGTATATGAAACTAATTTTAAAAATACAATTGAATAAAGACATACAGCTATAAAAGCACCTGCTGGATTTGGTTGACGATGATGAATATATATGACAGGATAAATAAGTATTAAACTAAGATTAAGTATTTGAAATAATATTAAAGGTTTTATAAATGATAATATTTTACTTAATTTTATTTCAAGACAAAATTGAAATAAAATAAATAAATTAATCAATAGAATAAGAAATACCTAGAAGATATTTTAAAAGACAAATAAAATTATTATTATTCTAGATAACTAACTGATGGCCAATTAGTTGGATCTTTTAAAAATCTTAAAGGCCAATCAAATTCAACTAATAGACCATATTTAAGAATATTTTCAATAACAAGATGAAAACTTCCTATGCCCAAAATAACATAAAGAAGATTAAGAAAACCTCGATAGTTTTCATAACCACTTGAAGCCGATAATAATGATGGTCGCTCTGTAATTGATTCTATAGTCATGCTAACTATATAAGAAAACAAATACCTCGATGATGTGTTGAATCGAAATCACAGGTCATCGTGCATAAATGTATATACGTACCGTAAAAGACTAAATGTAGGCTGATACGATAATATATAGACGGGAGTGAGGGAGAACAGAGAGGAAAAAAATATAACGACAAGGTGAACTGCACATGATAATGGGTGCACGATGAATACCACACAGTGCCCGAATGTCTCATTTCAATTGCATATATAGAAACATATGAATATACACATAGTGATTATCTTATTAGAAAAAGAAAAGATCAGTAAAATCAAGTCATTTTATTGTCAAATAAAATGATTTGTGATTTATTATTATCATTTTTTTGTAAAGAAGATTCTTTTTATTAATACATCGTTGTTAAAAACATGAAGAGAATGTTTGTATTTTTTGTTAACATGCATTTTTGTCATAAAAAACTCATAATATATATGTTATCGTATTTGTCCTGTTATCTTTTGATTGTCAGTAAAAGCTCGATAATTTATTTCGAGAAAATCTGAACTCTTCTCATTATTTATTTCTTCTATATTTGGCCACCATAAATTGTGCTATCGTATAATGTGTCCAATTAATAATACTAACAAGCACTACTGGCACTCAACACACATTAGTATCATCATCTCTATTGTTCTGACAAGTCGAATTTTCTTTTATTTCATTGAATAATTATTCAAAGAAAAACAGGAACTTTCTCGTCTCATCTATGTTGTTAGAAATTCAAGTTGTTATCCGTATAGGAAAGAAAAAGAAGGAGAAGAAGAAATCAGTAACGAATTATTTCTTGGCTCATCAATCTATTTTTCTAGAAAGTAACAACAGAAAAAATAAGTTTTCTTTTTTTCTTCTTATTCGATCACATCATATATCATTTTATTTATATATTCATCGATTTAGCTCACGATCTTTTTTTATAGGAAACAGAAGATTTTATTGATGCTGGTAATCTTGAGATAAGTAATCATATGTAATGACTTTTTTTTGAAAATTGTTATAAAAATTAATAAAGAATAGCGTTTTACTATTGAGACCAAGGAAAAAAAAGAAAATTCAATAAGGTCGTTGCTATTTTCTTTTCAAAATTTATGTTATATGAAGAATTTTCAATGAGTTTGTTTTTTTTTCGGAAGAAAAAGCTACATATTGCAAATCACTTCACTACATAGATGCCTATAAGGCTTTTTTCTGATATTTGATTTGGCGTCAGCTGCCACAAAAGAAGCCTAAATTGATTCGTGCACGTACAAGAAAAAGACAGAACGTGCACGAAAAAAAAAACGTCTTAAAAAGAGAAAAAGAAGATGCCCCCACGCAGGATTGAACTACGGACCTCCAGTTTACAAGACTGGCGCTCTACCACTGAGCTATAAGGGCTACGGAAATTAAAGACCAGAATTAGGAAGGCACATTTACTGAATGTTTTATTTTTTTAATTGAATTACGCAGATGAACATTGTTAGAAAAAGAGTTCGTCTAGTTTGTCTCCTATATAGAAATGTTTAATTGCTGTATTAGATTTCCTTTCTTCGTCTTTTTTTTAGCTATTCTTTTTATCTCATAGATTTTTTTCCTATTTTGCAAACATATAATCAAAAAATGATGATAGCATCAAGTTTTATTTTCTTACAACTATCCATAGTTGTTCTTGTCATGGTTACAATTACGGCAACAAAAAAATTGCCACAATCAATAGAACAAGCGACACAGTCTGCTAATAATGAAGTTTGTTTACTCATAGTTAAAATTTTTTTATTATTCAATTTTTTTTTTTGTCTTATTAGCAACGTCAAACTTCTGCTCTTATTGATCATCATCAAACTAATGATGATTCAAAACACCTTGCACTTAGTGATGATGAAGATTTAAGCACTAGCAATAGTGATGAAGAATATAATCATAATAATAATGATCATCAACATCAACATAATCAAGCAACATGGCCTCAAATAGATAACCAACGTTATGCAAAGATAAAGGCTCGTGCTAGTACGGCTATAAATGTTGGTGACAGTCGTCTTTGGCCTATACCTTATCGATTTGGAAAACGAGCTGCTATGCCATATCGATTTGGCAAACGTGCTGCTATGCCTTATCGATTTGGTAAACGTGGAGCCGCCATGCATTTCAGACTTGGAAAGAAAAACACTTCTTTGTAAATATTTGATGTAGTTACAAAGAAATACGAATAAGTTTTATGTAGTTTTGTTGTCTGAGAAATGTTGACTACAATTAAAGATGGAATTTATCGAATAAAACCCGTATTGAACTACCAAAAAAAAAAACAGCCAAAGAATCTCTTATTTTAAAAACAATTTCTCATGCAATCAATGAATTACAAAGCCACATTAAGGTTTCGTTAGAATGAAAAAAAAAAGTTGTTTTCTTTTGTGTATTGTCACAGTAACTTGCTAATAATGAATTTTTATTTTAAAAATAGTTCGCTCTTTTAATGTGTTATATTTAGTCACAAGAATGACATTTTGCTGCTTCACAGAACGCAAAAGAAAATAATCCTTGTTGTTGATTAATCTTGTTCAAAAAAAAAAAAAGAAAAAGAAAAGGAGGAGACAAAAAAAACAATACTGAAAAATAAACTTTAGTTCTCTCTTCTTTTTATAAGCTCTCACGAGTCTTCTTTTTGACAGGAAACCTATTTTTTTAATTATGCTTGATTTTACATTGCTCTGATGACATAATTCTATTTAAACTTTACATATATGCATAATATCATAGTAAGTAACTAGATATATTATTTTTTCAATTCTGCTAGTTATATTAATATGATCTACAAATCGTTAATTTATATTGATACTTTTTCGAATTAAAAGAAAAACAGGTATCGTGATTTATTATTAATTGCAATGGCCATAACGGAAAAAAAATGTTGCACTTGTGTGTAAATAGAAAATTTGTTTGTCTTTAATTTGAATTATCTTTTCAAAGAACAGTTTCTCCATGTAAGATTTCATCGAAGGGCAATAGGTAATTGATCAAGCAAGCGAAAATTTTACTTATACAAATAGTTGGCAGAGCATAGTAATAAAAAAAACGTGACATTTCTCTGGTTGATTCTCGAATTAAAAGAAAAAAAGACAGTCTGTTTTTGATGACTATGAAGAAAAAAGCTTTTCCTGTGCATTCGATAATTAAATTTTAAACAAATAATATGAATGCATATATATTATTTTTTTGAGGTTGTTTTTGTTTATTAATGTAAGTATTAATAATTTTATATCGATTAGAATTTTTCACTGTTGATCCTTAACAATTAATTTTTCTCTTTCTAAATATTTAAACATATCCAATACAAATAAATACTCCGACGAAGATTAACTCTGTTAGTATAGACCAAAAATTACATTATCTATTTCTTCGGACGTGTCATAGCACATTCCTATCGCCATAAAGAAATTCTTCTTTTGTATGTTCTGTTTCTCAGCACAGCCGAAACGTACTCATACGGGTATGTGATGTGTACCATTTTTGTACATCCGGTCAATAAGAAAGCAGAAAAATAGAGGAAGAAAACATCTTAGGGCATTATCAAGAATATATAGCAAAGAAGAGAAAAGAGATAAGGGTTGTGTAGTAAACTAACAAAGAAAGGAAAAGAGAAGAAAAAAAAGAAAATAATCCTAAATCATTCAAGTCGGCGTAGCTATGATATGAGTTAATTGTTGAATATATTTCAGGGCGGGAAAAAAGCAGTTGAATTCTACTGTTATATAAAAAATAATTAAATAATCAATTATTGTATTTATAGAATTCACTGATTACAAAAAAAACAAAAAGTAAGTAATATATTTATTTATTTCCTAATAGATTTTTTTTAATGTTTATCAAAAGAAGAAAAAGAAACGAAGAAGAATAGATTAGAAACAAACTGATCACTCATCTAATTAGAAAATAAATCAATTATCAATCAAATAAGACGTTCATATAATTTGAATAATTTATTATTTAGATTTATCATAAAATATACAAATTCTTTTTATCATTAACTTTTGTTGTTAATACAAAAAAACTGTCGTAGATGTTTGACGATAGAAGATTCCCAAGTGATCAATCGCTTTTAATCTGAAGCTATATTCAATCAATACGGTCTAGCAAGTAAATGAAACCTCTAGAGTGATTTACGCTGCTGAGTTTTTGTTGCTAACATATTGAATTTTTTCGTAAATTTTCCCTATAGAATTCTAGTTTTCAAGTGGAATTATACTTTTGATTTTTGACGTGAAAATTTGCTCACATAAAAACACCGATTAGACTAGTTTGTAGAAAAAGTTCAGAATTTTTTCATGAAATTTCTCCAAGATATTAATAGACATTTTGCCAGGAACATGAATATTTTGACAAATTTATAACTTGAAGATGCTTGGTGAAAAACAAATTTTGAAATTTTTTTAATAAGCTAGTCTAATTGGTGTCCTTATGTAGGCAAAGTTTCAGATCAAAATTTAAAAGTATGATTTCGTTTGAAAGCTAGAGTTCTACAGGAAAATCTAGTAAAAATTCGATATCTCAGAAATAAAGATCCAACAATTCAAATCACTCTAGAGTATTTATTTAATCACTAGATCCTGTCGATTAAATATAGTCCTAGCTCGAAAGTAATTTATTACTTGCGAAGTTTGTCTTGTGAGTCAATTTTTCTGATATGATATTGTTTAAAAAGTTTTTCAATTAATATTTGCAAATAATAATTTTACATATATCACTTTATCAATTGATAGATGTCTTTTTAGAATAGAAAAATAAAATTCATTGATGATGAATATATTTAAAATATTTACTTATTCAGATCATAGATAAAATTTGTATAAAAAAAAAAGTGTCATTTAAGTGCCAAATTAGTTATTTTTAAAAAAAAATTTAAATGTATAGGCCATGTAATCCATTATTATTGTTATTTCTTCGACAAACGTCGTTAGAAAAAAAAATAACAAAACTATTCTCGTGAGAGAAATACAAAATACATCTAAATGTCAGACAAAATCATACTTCAGTTTTCAAATTTTTCTTTTTTGTATGTTCAAACCTGTATGCCCTTTTTTACGTTCTTTTTAGTAATGACAGGATGTAAAGTAATGATAGGCTTGAGGGCATACACAGAGATGAGTACGGCTCACAGTCTCTCTCGGAATGCTACGCATTTCCATGTGGCAATGTAGATATAAAGGGTTACTGATGCGAACAAAGTTTTCTTTTAAATTCTTGAATGATTAAACTCATCTTGTCCGTTGGACATGTGTAACAGATTTGGATGTAAATATAAATGAATCAGGAGAGTTTGAACACTTTTTTTTATCTAATCATTTCCAATCGAAACAATAAACTGGATGGATTCATACAGTTGTCGCCGAAAACACAACTCATATCTATACACTCTCATCGTGATTTTTTGAAACTTTATGTTGTTGCACTATCGTATGAATATCATTGAGTACATTGACGACTATATTAAAAATTTGAATTTCGTCATATAATATAGTAAATTATTTTTAAAGAAATTTTTACTCGGATATCGTCGAGGCTGGCTAAAAGCAATCAATATTAGCAGAAAGATGTGTGTGTGAATAAAGATTCATCGATGTATTTTATTAAAATGATAAACAAGAAGAGATGGTGATAATTAGTAGGCGATAAGAGAGAGAACAAGGATAACGTGAATAGATGAAAAGTAATTGACTGATTGTAGCAATCGAATAGGAATTTACTAGTGAAAAACAATAAAAATTTGTGTGATGAAGAAAAAGTTAATGAGATGAGTATAAGTGATAATGATAAGTGTGTAATGAAGAATGAATTATGTTAATCAGAAGAAGAATTGTGTCTTAATGAGAAACGATTAGTAACAATTAAAAATGAATGAAATAGGCGCGAGAAAAAGCACAAAAAACAAAGTAATCATACGCACAAACAAAATGTACACCTAACAAAAAGAAAGAGATATCATAGATGACGGTTAGTGTATCGCTATAGGGGGTGTTAGTAGAGTTCGACGGTTCTAAAAATCTGAAACCGGAACCGCTAAATCATCAGAGACTTATAAACAATTATTAAATCTATGTCGAGAAATCTTCATTTTTTCATTTTTGAGATTAAAGTTTTTAGTATATATTTATAATGTTATTTTGTTTAAGTACTGAAATATGTAGCGTCTTTAATCGCAATAATTCAATAGTGAAAATTTTCGTATTTGTCTAATGATTTAATATTTCCGAGTATTCTCTTTGGAATTGTCGAACTCTAAATGTTACGTCCTTCTCTCCTGCCTCTGGCCAGACCATCCTTGTGTATCATTAGTATCCAATGTCTTTAAATATGAAAAACTATTCCTTCGTATGTCATTATTTTCAGATTTTTATGAGATTAATTAAAATTGATTAAGTTTGTGATATTTGTTCTTCTTTAGTTGGCGCTCGTTTTAGGTAAAACTAATTTTTTATGTTCAAAATAGTCATTACCGTCCACTTCTGTCAAGGGGGAAACAGCTGATTATTTGATTAGATATGATTTTAAGTGATTAGCAGTGATTAGCAGTGATTAGGAGTGATTAGAGTTGATTCGGAGTGATTAGGAGTGATTAGAGTTGATTAGGAGTGATTAGGAGTGATTAGCAGTGATTAGGAGTGATTAGGATGATTAGCGGATTTCTAATCAGCTGTTTCCCCCTTGACTTCTGTAGATAAATATGGTTTACACAATTTACTGTTCATTGATAACATAGAAAATTTATTCCAATGAATGTTTTTCTTGCGTGAGGATTTACTTTCTATTGATTATTTCAACGAAGAGAAATGAACAAATAAGTAGAAATTGCAACAATCAATGTAGTGTCAGAATAAAAAAAGAAAATGAATTTCAATAAATATTTGAACAGTTAACCAAAAACAAAGACAGATGGCTGTTGAAATTTTTGATGAACGTTGAAAATATCTCAATGCAACAGCTTTCAAGAACGTTGGAATATTAATACCACCTTCATCATAATGTTGCCATAATTTCATTAAATATTTATCTGTTATGACATTGTGTTTCCAATGTTTTGAAATTGAAACTCTCGTGTCATCTCGTATGCTTGCACTCGATACTAAAGATTATTCTTTTTACAATAAACCAATTGCAATGTAGATGTTTGAATGTGAGGAATTTACACATTTTTTTATTCAAGAATATTAACTTTCCAAACAATTCATAGCATGTGATGTTATATTACATTTGGAAGGTTTATTGAGATATTTCTTTCTGACAATATGTTGACTGCCACGATTTCTACTGATTTATTCATTTCTCTTCTCCGAAATAGTTAATGGAAAGTAAATTCTCATATAAGAAAAACGTTAATTGAAATAAATTTTTCATATAATCAACGGACAGTAAATCTTCTACATAGATAAATATATGAGTTCAGTCGGTAAGTAGACTGATTCTTTGTGATGTCTTTTGATCATTAATGAAATGAAGTCATATCTAGTTCACTCTTTACCAGTAGTGCTTCATTTTATTTTAGTCATACAAAGAAGAACAGACGATACGCCTACGCTTTATTTATCGATAAAATTTCTATTAAAAAGTAAGCATGATAACAAAGAGTGGGAACTTTTTTCTATTATTTAAAACTACAAGTTTGACATTAGTGTTAATCAATATGAAAATGATTTCATTTTTTATTTCGAAGAGATTAAGAAAAATTACAAAAGCATTGATATCCAAAACAAAGAATATCTTATTTTTAATAGTCTTTCTCTTTAAGTGAGCATTGACAGACATATATTAATGAACAGATTCGGGTTTAAGTAAACAATAAATAAAAACTTTATAACCAAGATCAAACTCTTTTTTAAAATGTGAGTTCGACAAAGAAGTCCTCTAGTTTCCCAATAAAGCACATCATTTGGAAGCTTGAGGATTTCATTGTCCGAACCCACATTTTAAAAATGAGTTTGATCTTAGTTATAGTTTTTATTTACTGTTTATTCAAACCTGAATCTGTTCACTAATATATATTTACATGAGAATGATAAGTTTTCCATCCTACATGTGTTTACATATCTTTTTTCTTTAACATAAGAAAGAAAATTGACATGGATGCTTTCAATTTTTAGCTATTTTTCTATTTCTCGTATGATCGTTAGAAATGATTATTAAATAATCGAATGATGATTGGTTTTTGCTGAGAGAAAAAAGTAAAAATATCCAAAGACTTTCATTGTTGTGTAATCTTCACTTTTTTTATTTCTTTCTTTCTTTCTATGCTTTTCTTTTTATTATATCGAAAAACAAAACACATTTTTATTGTTGAGACTTTAAGAAAAATGAATTCTTCAAACATCTGCTTACGTAAACATTAGACGATTGATATAAAGATATAAAAGTAATTTGAACACGTACTTAAACAAAAGTCAATAAAAGCATGTGTCTTCAATTTATATATGTTTACGGGATATTCTCTTTTTTCTCTTTCCTATCATTGATCGATATAATATTCAATGTGAAATATGATCTAAGTTAATCGATGCTGAAAAAAAAGAAAGTTCTAACTTAACATATGGTAGAATCTAACTATTGTATGATAATTGACTATTTTTCATTCTGTTCTTTTTTTTTCTTTTTATTTTAAGGTAACTATTAGTTTGATATTCGAATGAACTGAATTTATATTTATGAATATTAATTATTAATAATGCTATTTCGTTTTCGAAAACATTTACATTTACTTTATCTACTTGTTACACTTAATATAATTTTTTTTCTTATTGTCTATCATCGTCTTATATTAATAACTCCATCATCATCATTTATTGATTTATCAATAACATCATTTATTGATAATAGTTTCAATGCACAAAATGATCAATATTTATCACCATCATCAACTTGTTATATACCTCGATTTGATCCATGGGATCAAACTGTTGCAAAATCTATACATATTAAACCAATCTATCGTTGTCCGATGAATAAACAAAATTTAATAGACGTTATTAATAATACACAATTATTTATTAATCAAACAGTGAATAGAACTTCGTTTTCAAATTCAATAACACATTGTGTTTATTTAAAAGTTGGAAGAAATCCTGAAGAAAAATTTTTTCGTGATTGGTCTTATACATTATCAGAACCAATATTAATTGTTAATGGATATACCGATCCAATATTAGATGCTGATTTTGTTCTTACGCGTTGTTATAATGATAGAACACGATACTTTAACGGTACAACATTTTGGTAAGATTTTTAGTATGAAAGAAAAAAATTTTTTTTTTTTTATCATAAATATTTATCTTTTCAAAAACTAAATATAAGATGTACGATATTGAAAAAGTTTATTTTAGTTGATTTAGTATTTGTAAATTGAGTTTTGAAAGATTTATAGATGTTTCAAGAGAGAGAGAGAGAGAGAGAAACACTTGATACTCAATTATGTGTTGTAAGTTTTATATTGATTCTAAATATGATATTTGCTTTATTTGGAACTGATGTTTTAATGATCAAAATCTTTGAGCACAAACCTATGTTTGTACCATGACAAAAAAACGCCCAAAAAATTCTTGTCAAATTTTGAATTGTTAGCATCTTACATCCACCTAGTTATTCAAAATGTATTGTTATAAAAATCAACATGGTTAATTTGTACAGTTAGTAAACTGTATGAACTAACATACATGTCAGAATGAAATAGGAATGGGTGTAAGCTCAATAATTCGATCGCAGCAATAGTCAGCGACCTACGGTTTTTCAGTAATCAAAAGAAGAAAACTTCGAATGTTTGTTTTTGTTTGATACTATATAAGACAAAATTATTTGAAAATCCACTAACTTCTCAAGATATTCGGAAAAAACGTATGAAAATGGTATTTCCTATCAAGAAAATGTGCTAAAAATCAAAAGAATTCTATATAATTTGATTAAATAGATGCACGATTTCATTTGCTCAATCTTCATATATGTGAAGATAATCACCTGAATTGTGCCTTGAATGATAGAACTGAAAATCTCTCTATCACAAACACATGTCAAAATCAAAATTATATTGAAATGGAACAACATTTTCATGCATTTTTTTTGGAGATCATGGGTTTTAAAATAATTTTGTCTTATATAGTGTGAAACAAAAAGTTCTCCAGAGTTCTCCTCTTTTAATTGCTGAAAACTGTGCGTTGTTAATTATCGCTATTGTCAACTTACTGGAGTTACCCCGATTCCTCTTTTATTCTTGTGCATACATTAGATATAGACGATGTTTATAGATCATAACATATTTATTGTCTTTAAATACTGAAGATTACTGTCAGATTATTATTTTCATGATCTCTCAAAATCGAATAGATGAAATTTGTGTTTATTTTTTTAATAATTACTTGAATTAAACAAAGAGTCTGTTAAAGTTTAATTGTTTTGTTGAATCAAAAAAATTGGTCGAAGCGAAAAATAGTTGAAAAATTTATGGTAAAAGAACCAAAGCTTTCAGTTGTATGGAAAAAAGCGAATATCGGTTCATGAATTAACTGTAGTCCTTCTAATTTTTGGTTCACTATGGCTGAATAACTACGTTATTCGGCACGTATCCAATAGATCCCGTGCTCAAACCTAGTTTCCATTAGTCATGTAAGGATCCTGGATTAATCACTAACGATTGTTTGTCTTGGATCATCAGTTCGATAGCGGCATGCTGACTACATTGTGATATACACCTACTTTCGTGGCTAGTATGTAGTTAGACAGTGTGTACGGAGAATTCAAGCTATTGAACGCAACAACTTTGCATCACGTCGACGTTCTGTTTACAGTTACAGCTAATCATAGGTACAGAGAATATATCGGGCTAATGAATCTACCACTAGACAGTGCCCTATGCTGCAAGATAGCCGAGAGACAAGGGTATTCTTCCTTCTAATTTTTATGGTAATACTATGTAAAAGTAAAATAGACGTCAGCCGTTTTTCAGGACATTTACTGCTAAGAGACAGAAAAAGTAAAAAATAAAGAGTGGGTAAACATTGCAAGAACAGCAAGTATGAAAGAAAAATGACGGAAACAAGAAGTAGTTGCACTCTTTTTTCCATCTCAACTATTTCGATGTTAATCGATATGTACAAAACAAAAAGAGAAATTATTAATGATAAATGATTAATTTTCTTTCCTCTACGAAAACTTACGACCGTCTATTCATGTTCATTTATACATAGATACCTTACCTCTAAAGTATGTAACTTGATGTATTCTTTCTCGATGACATTCTCTTCAAATGTTCTTTTTTTTTTATTCAGGTGAATGAAAGATGTATCTATTTCTATTGTCTTTCTTTATGTAAACACTTTCTTCACATTATTCTTTCTAACAAGTCTATGCTACTTTAAAAAAGGAAACCCAACAATATTCTGTCACTGATGTATAGACACAACCGTATATGGAAACAAATCTTTGAACTGTACTTACTTTCAGAATATAGTTATTTATTTTGTAAAGTTGAATTTCGAGTATAATCAACGCAGTGCTATTGACATATAACAATCAAAGCAATAAAATATTTATGAGAAGAGAAAATCAAGACAGACCGAACCCAAACTGCCTAGGCTTGGCAAAAATCTATATTCATCTGAATTAAGGCTTTTATTTGAAAAAAAAGCATTCCATTCTTTTATTAGAAATTTCTCGACTAATTTTCACTTTCCATAGAAAAATGTAATTTATTATCCTTCGCAATTAGTTAGATAAAAAAATTTAAATCTGAAATAAAATTGTCTTTCTATTTAGTGGTTATAAGTGTCCAAATACTACTGAAATAAAATCAAGATATAGAAGACTTCCATTAAAAAAGAATAAAACTTCCGATCTTGTCTATGAATATATTCATCCATTAATACGTATTAAAAAACCACCATTTTCACGTGATGTATGGTTAAATAAAACTGAATCTAGTTGGATATCAAATTTATTTCAATCATCATCTAATTATTCGCCACCATCTGTAATGATAATTGTACTTGATGCTGTAAGCGATTTACAAGCACGTCGTGCATTACCACGAACTCTATCTTATTTAAAATCTCAAGGTTTATTTACATTTCAACGTCATACTGTTGTTGGTGATGGTACATTTGAAAATATTGTTCCTATGTTATTTGGTCAATCAGCAAAAGATTATCAAATACCAAATAAAAATGATAGTCGATATGAATTTATTCGAATGGAAACAAAAATTGATTCAACAACTAAAAAACATTATCAAATTAAAAGGATTATTCATTATCCTGGACCATTTGATAATTATCCATTTATAGTAAAAAATTTTTCTAAATTTAATTATACAACTTATTTTAGTGAAGAATGGCGTGAAAGTGCTTTTTATAATTTAAAAAATGGTTTTCGTCAAGCACCAACTGATTATTATTTACGTCCATATTGGTTATCATTATATGAAACAATGTCCTATAATAAATTTTTAGGAAATTCAAATCCTAAACCATGTTATTTAAATAAATTATTACATCACTTATCATTAAATTGGCTTGAAAAATTTATTAATATTCATCATAAAACATCCAATTATCCAACATTTGGTATTATGAAAATGAATGAAATGAGTCATGATTATTTAGAAAGACTTTTTTGGATTGATTATGATTTAAAAAATTTTTTTGAAAATTTATTTCAAAAAAATTTATTAAATAATACAATATTAATATTTTGTGGTGATCATGGTCATAGACAACATCGTATAAGACTTACACGTATTGGAGGTTTTGAAGTTAAATTACCTTTTTTTTCTATGTTATTTCCACAATCATTTAAACAACAATTTCCACAAGCTATGAAAAATTTAAAAAATAATGAACAAAGTATGAGAAATATATATATATGATGAAAGAATGTTTCATTTATCTAATAGATAAGTTCATTGAATAACAAATTGATCCTTCCGAAGTTTATGGTTATTAAAACATGTACGATATGTCTGTGTTTTCAAAAAAAAAAACTGTTCGTCCTTCCGATAGAGATTACAGTTTTATTTCACGGCTGATTTTTAGAGCATTCTGTATGTGCCAAAATAATCATTTATTTATTTTTATTCATCATTATCACTTTTGACGAAGAATACAAATGTAGTAAAGATAAAGAAAAACATCACTCATATGTTTTGCATTGATTTCAATTGCTGTTTTACAGCTGTTTTTTAACTTGAAATTTTTAATCTATGGTATGATTAACAAGATACATCGTTGTTGTAATTGTTAGAAAAACTAAAGTTGCTAGATTCATTTTAAATCTAGTGAATATAAACTCTTATCGTCAAATTGTTAGCATTTTAGAAAGTTTATAGTTTATCATTATCTTTCAACAGTAAATAATCGGTACCACTAATGTACTAAATAGAAAAGTTTCTGCTATTGTATTTGATGACAAAATTTTATCAAATACATTTCAACTATCATGAGCTATAAATTAGAGAATTGCACGGTAGAATAAGGTAAAGGTTAGAAAATTTTTCTCGATCAAGTTATCAAGTAGAAAAAAAACAAACTTACTCTGCACATCTCTACTATAAATTTAAATTATATCATTGTATTTAGTGTTAACATCTTGGTGGGATGTTTACGAAACATTAGCAAATATTCTGAAGATGATTGAACAACCATCTATATTTGATCCTCTCTTAGTCAATTGGCATTCAACAACAGCGGGTATATCTCTTTTTCATCCTATACCTGAACGAAATTGTTCATCAGCTGGTATACCTGGTAATTAATTATTCTAATGATTTTCTTTTGCAAAAAAAAAAAATATATTGTCTACAATATTTTAGAAAAATATTGTCCATGTTCACGTAGTACCCCACTTGATACAACATTACCTGTAATCAAAGAATTAGCATTAGTTACTATTGATCATATAAATAATGTAAAATTAAAATCACATATGCATTTATGTCTTCCACTTGAACTTAAAACAATTATTCGAGCTGAAGTCGAAAAATTACCAACACCTAAAAAAATCGATAATAAAATAGCAAATTTTACTGAATCATATACAGTTCTTTTTGAAGTATTACCATCCGGTGGAATATTTGAAAGTCGTCTTCTTTATCATCAACAAACAAAACGAATACAATTACATAGTGATATACTTCGTGTTAATCTTTATGGTGAAACATCAGCATGTATTCAAGATAAATATGAATTACGTTCTTTTTGTTATTGTATTTCATATGATCAAAAACTAAAAAATAATCTATCAACTACTCTTATACCACAATATACATCTAATATTACTGTTGTCAATTCAAAAATAACAATGAAAAAGTAGATATTGGTACTACATACATATATATATATGTGTTGCATTGGATATTATTTGATCGCGGGCGATCTTTTCTTTTTTTGTTTTCGTTATTCTTATTATATCAATAAAAGAAGATTTAAGGCTTGAACTTTTATATATACAAAACTTTTTCAATGATATATCTCAAGAGCCGAGCACTTTTATCAAATCTTTTAAATTTACACATGGCTAACGATGAATCTATCAGAGAGAAAATTTTCCAATTCTTTGAGTTTAATTTTGTTGCATGAGATATTTAAGATTAGTTGAAGTCACTGTATTTAGAACAACAAATAGTCTAGAAATTAAAGAATATTAGAATTATTTAGGTATGAATTGATCTGATAAAGTGTAAATTAACAAAGTTGAATCTTTAATCAATTGTTGATTATAGTAGATATTTTCTTGAATGATTTATAACACTATTCAATTTAACAAGATTTTATTTTCGAACAGTATTTTCATTATATCTTTTTAACTTTAATTTATTTAAAGATTTGCCAATAATTTTTTGCTTTATTCGCTACAATAATAACGAGTGATCGAAAAGTAATTAGATAAAATGTTTTTTTCATTTTTTCAGCCTTTATTAAAGAATCTGCAGAAACTTGAAAATATTCGGTTAGAATCGCAATTTTGTGTTCATTCCGAGTATGGATTCAAAATTTTTATAGGACTTCTGGTTTAAGATTTGTGAGCTGACCTTTTAGAAGCGTGAAAATTAATTTTGGATGGAAAGAATTCTCATGTTTTGCTGCTATAAGCCTCTTTACTGCGTATACTATATTACCAATTTTGTGAGATACGATCTAAAAGGATTGTTGAAGTATAAGGGTAAAAAATTTGGATCCTCCTTCCCACAGACGTCATATACACCAACACAAACACGTCACAGACCATACAGCAATAACATCCTGTTAAACTACTCTCTTATTGCATTTCTGGCGAAGGATGGTAAGGAAATGTGTCCCAAAATAGATCGAACAGAACAATCTTTCTGTAATTAGTAACATCAACTACATCGTGTTTCATATTCTAATCTGTCAGGAATTGTGCTAACCTGTTTTTTTTGCATAGAATTAAAGGCAAAATTGTTCTTGACGAAGTGATATAAGAATCAAAAGTTTTCATAACAATCATTCAGCGATGCCCGAGCTCATTTTGCAAGTATTTTTTTTCATAGAAATCGAGAAATTGACACGGCGTATTCAACGAAAATACTCATTTCTTGACAAATAACTCGGAGTAAACTAATTATTAATATACCATTTTACTGAGAAATATTTGTTCATTCATAATCCGAAAAGACGTCTTCAGTAAACTTAGTTGCCACGTTTTCCACTAATCCGATATCAACAAAACTTTCCGAGAATGTTCTTCTATATCTAGGACATACACTCAGTTAGCATAAAGATAAGCAAATGCTTCTAGATTGAGATACAAGTTTTCTAAAAACCTTGGTTTTTAAAGGTTTTTCACGATTTATTTGTCACTGAAATACTTTGAAAGATGACTACAAGAAGCTCATATTTCTATGAAAAAAATTCGTTGCTGACAGAAAATATATCATGTCTACGCGCTTGATAGAAATTACGCACTGTGTGTGACATCGTATACAATCATAGTTTGATGTTTCATATGGATCAGTACTATGGTTGTATACCTCCTTGATCATATACAGAGCAATAGAATCATATATGGATAATATCTGCAAACTCTGAATAAGAAGGTACTATACGAGTATATGTGTTTTTTGGAGTACAGTCATTTACGAGCATACTTGTTTAACATAGATGCTAGGGAAATTTGCAAATGAAATCATCTCTCATAGTACTGTTTCGACGAGGTGGAATGATAATCGGATGATTTTTTAGCGACTCCTCGAATCTTTAACGAGGATAGATAGTAAGCGTCAATATTTCATACTTTATAATATAGGAGCTTCAGAAAATGAAGCGAAATTTGAAATCTATAATGTCTCAGTTTAAATGTACTCTAAAATATTTTTGTTGGTATGAGACAGAAATGAAAAATTAGAAATATCTGTAATCTTGCGAAAATCATTACAACATATGTATATAGGTTATTTTTGAAAATGTCTCTTTTGTATCTAGTTTAGCAAGAAAATCAAGTATTCCATCTCGTTTTATTTATGATGAAATCAGTCACAAAAGTATGCACCACTTTTTTAAAAATCTTTATTGCTACGAAAACTCATTTGTTCTAAACTTTGGACCAAATAGCTGAAATGTTTAGTGATAAACTTCGACTTCGTCTAGAAAAAGAACAAAACTCTCATGCAATAAAATCATCCTGTTCTGAATCAACGTTCGAATTATAAGTCGTTTTATGCGTGAGTGAAGCAGAATATTATTTGAACAGATGTGTTTTGCTCGAAAAATGGTTTCTTTCTTTTTTTGATCTGAAAGAGAAACCTTCCATAAATGCGAAGAACTAATTTTGCCAGCATCTTATTTATAATGACCAATGATATTATTTGCCTAATATTACATTTCTTTTTCTATTTTATCATAGTCGACAAATAAATAATATTCATTTAAACCGAGATATTCGATTACAAACAATTACAATTATCCATGTTTTATTTATTATTACAACAATTATCCCGTTTGTTGTTTTTTGTATTTGCAAAAACTATATTGAAGTAACAAAAGCTTGAAGAAATAATAAATCCAATAATAACGGTATTTATTTACGAAGATTATGTAGAAGCTTTTCCATCTATTAGAGATAACCTATTAATAATATACCATATGCTTTTTGTAATGCCTATTTTACATTTATTGCTGTGTATCAATATATTTTCGTAAACACGCCGCTTATCTTTTGCTTCATATCGATGATCACGTAAAATCGACACTTTGAATAATACTCAAATCATATTGTATATCTAAAAAAAACCAGTTTTGAAGCATTGCGAAGATGCTATTTCACCAAATAGTATTGTTTTTCATTGATTTCTTTTTCACTTACTTTCAGTATACAATTCTATACTTTGTGTTAATTTTACTTTTCGAACTATAAATCATATAATCTGAATTTCCAAAACAAAAATGGCATTCACCCCCACAATGAAAGATCTCAAGTCTTCTATTATATCTCATTTATTTTTCATAATTTTTTATTTAAAAGATTTTTCAAAAAACTAAAACGATTTTGACGAATTGGGAATAGGTTTTTAAGATTTTGAAATGTTAAGAAATAATACTGATCTAAGTCTTTTAATATTGTTAGCCTAAAACTGCGGGAACTAGTCATATTTTGATTTAACTAATTAAAGTTCTAATTTTTTGAAAGATTAAAATATCTTATCAATCTAAAATGTTGATAAGAATGTATCAAAAAACAGATAATTTGAACTAATGTCTACGTCAGAATTAAAGAAGGGTTAGGTCTTTTTGTCTGATATTATATAGTACGAAATTATTTTAAAACCCATCATCTTCACAAAAAATTTGGAACGAAATGCATAAAAATGGTGTTTCGTTTCGATATCATTTTGATTTTTGACATGTGCTTCTGATAGAGAGATTTCAGCTCTATAGTTTAATGTACGGTTCAGATGATTATCTTCTCATATCTCAAGATTGAGTAAAGGAAATTGCGTATCTATTCTGCCAAATTATATAGAATTTTTTTCGGTTTTTATCAAAATTCTGTTGAAATCAAACATTGTTTTCATGCAATTTTTTTTGAATGTTTTGAGAAGTTGATTGGTTTTAAAATAATTGTCTTATATAGTATCAAACAAAAAGACGTCCGGAGTTCTTCTCTTTCGTTTTCTGGAAATCTTAGATTGCTAACTGTTACTGTTGTCGAGTTACTGAGCTTATACTTAGGTCTCTTTAATTCTGATGTAGATGTTACATAACTTCTACATTTAATATTAAAAATGCAAAAATGTAGAAATATTCAATTTTATAAATATCTATAGATTCAACAATTTAATGAGATTTATTTGTATAACATCATCTTGTTCGACAGATTCAGTTAATTCTGTATCTTTATGAATGACTGATATATTATGAGAAAGATTCATGTTTTCATAAAAGATCTAACAAAAAAAATTAGCGAATTGTTTTTGATTAATTGTTTTTATTCATGATTGATTATTATTCATTATTATTATTATTATTATTATTATTATTATTATTACGCAACAAGTGATTGACTACTAGTTCCAGTATTATTAATATCTATGGGAAAAAAAATAATTGAATTATGTTTTCTTGAATAAAAATAAATTCCTTGATGAATTGAAAATTTGAATAAAACTAGTATGAATACAACAAGCACAAAGAAGAAGAAGAAAGACCATGATGATCATCATCAAATTATATTTCAATTGTAAATTTAATTTTTGAATGTATATATTGAAGTTGACTTTAAAATGTGAAATAGTAAATGTTGATTTATATGGTAAATGTCATATTTATTGAACAGATAAAATTGAGAAAAAGAAACGAGCAGTGACCAAAAACATGACAATAGTGAGCAGGATGTGGGATGCGAGTAGGGCAAGATTTTATTAAGATTTTATCTTCCGGAAAAGCGACTTAAAACGCCAAGAGGGCCAATTCAATCTTTGAAGGGGCGCTGACCTTTCGATCTTCACACTAGTTAAAACACTGGGGTAGGATGTGGGTGCGAGTGTTCCTCTACATCCTAATTACCATCTGGTGCTCAACGCCCTCAGATAGGCATCTAGTTTCGAGTAGAATTCTTCTTTTATTAATAAATGTTATGATAATACGACACTTATTAAAAAATTCTTTGCTAAATCCACATCGAAAACATTCGATTAGTTGCAAATCATTTATTATCGGTTATTTCATAGCAATTCTACGTTTCTACATTTTAAAGTCAACTCCAACGTATACATTTCTCCTGTTGTTTTTTTTCTTTTATTCTTATTTCAATAATTGATTATTGAACAATCAAAGAATTTATTTTCTTATTCCCTAATCACCTTGACCTGATTATTCATATTGCATTGTTATAAAAAAAAGAAACATTTATTGCTGCTCTCTTTTTTCTTTTATTGCATAAATAAAATTGAAATACAATAAATGGAATATTTAACGTTTACCAACACAAGCGTGACATTCGCATGATCGAATACGTGTATATGTAGCTGACACAACGTATCGTTGCTTACCTACTGCTTGACAATCCATTGAAATTGTTTGCGTATAAGTTTCTTTTGGTGCACAACATCGACATGTTGAATTACCCAATTGATAAGACGTCTTTTCTATTGTTAACTCATTACTTGCTTGAGAATCACAACCACCAGTACATTGTTCACGACCAACAGGTATCATTGATATGCATGTACCAGCATGAATATATTCATCTTTTAATATTTCAACACGACATTTACTTTCAACTGTAACAAAGAAACAAAAAAAAAGAATTCAAAAGAAAAGTATTATTAATTTCTATACCTTTTGTCTTGTTACATGTACCACAACATTCTCCAGATTGAGGTGGTATCCATGTATAAATATTATCTTTATCTTGAGATTGTTTAGATAAACATGTTTGTTTATTTTCAGAACAAATTGTTGAACATGATACTACACCATGTTTACATGCACATATTTCACATGAATTTGTTGGATTAGAAATAATTTGTTGTGGCTAAATAATATATAAATTATATTTGTAGTATATCTATGGATAAACTTACGGGTAAAGTAATAATATTTGTTCCATTAGACATAAGACATTCTTCATGAGGAGTTGTAATAGTTGTAGAAACAGGTGTTGTAGTACTAAAGCCTAAGAAAATAATAAGAAAAATCAATCAGTTTATTGAACTTATTCTATATTTCAACTTACAAAGTTGATTACATTTTTCATGTTCAACTTCTTCAATAACTGCTGAATTATTGCCAACTTTAACAGTATTGATTTGTGTATTAGGTAATTTCTTACAAATCTCTCCATTACATTGTGGTGCTGGTGATGTACATAATCGATAACGTGTACGAGTTCCATTACATGTTTGACTACATTCACTCCATGGTGCCCATAAATTCCATTGACCATCAATATCTGTTCCATCAATTGGTTGAGTTTCAACTGAACCTGTTTCACGGCAAACTCTACAAATAAAATTATTTTCAATGGATCTTTTTTTTGCAAAAGAAAAAGAAAAAAAGAATATTTACGTTCGATTACAAGGTGTTTCTTCAATAAGATCACCAACATCATATGTAACAATAGAACCATTTGAATTTGTTACATAACATACAATTGTACAATTTGAAGAACATAGTTGTTTATCTTCTTCCGTACGTTTATCTGGACAATTAGGTCCATCATATGTACGAAATCGACTTTGTGTACCATTACATGTATTCGAACAATCAGAAAATGCTGTCCATGGTGACCATTCACATAATGTACAGTTATTATCCTTGGTTATAATACAACCATCTTGACATGTATATGTTTTACAAGGATCTCGAATATTACTTTCACCATTAACTAAAGTTGCATTATCAGTTGATAATCGACATGGACAATCTTTACGATTAATACATTGACCATCAGGTCCAATGACTTTATTTTCAGGACAGATACAACCTGGTACACATTTATCTGGTTTTCGACATTGATTATCACATGTTAATGATTCACATGATGTATCACATTCATTAGCACAATCACTATGTATTTGACCATTCGTACAAGTTTCATCTAGAAAAATTAATTTTGTATGAACTTGAGAATATGAATAAAATGAGTTAACTTACTACATGGTTTTGTATTGCAAACTTCTGTATCTATTGAAGGTCCTTCACATAGTTTACCTTTACACGATGGTGAGGGATCCGTACATGTTCGACTTCGTTTACGTATGCCTGAACCACATTCTACTGTACATGGTGACCATTCAGACCAAGGTGTATATTTTCCATCAACTGGACAACATTCTATATTACATGGTTGTATTTCACGTAAGTTATTTGGTGGACATTTGTCAGGTGAATTTGTTTTATATTGACGTGTACGTTCTCGTTGACCACCGCCACATGGTAAAGAACATGTTGACCATTCACTCCATTCGGTTAAATCACATGTACAATTGATACCTTTTTTACATGGACATGGATCACCCACACATGGTAATGTTTCAATTATTTCTCTTACACATAATGGATTTGGTGTTGATGAAGGTTTTATGATTAAACTTTTTTTACGTGTTCGATTACCAGGTTGACCACATAAAGCATCACATTTACTCCATTCACACTGTGAAGTATATTTACAATCATCTATATATGAAAATAAAAAAAGAAATAATTTTTGGTTTTTTTTTTGTGGATTAAAATAAAAAAAGAAAAATCATATTTACCTTGACATGGAATTTTTTGTTTCGTCAATCCTTCTGATTTACACATAAGTTGTGTACAATTATCAACAAATATAGATGTGTTACGATCAAGTATATCGCCAATATAAACTGATGAGTTTGTATGAACAGCTGTTGTTGAATTAGTTAAATATCCAACAAAATCTTTAACAAAAAAAAAAAACAAATTCATGTCTTTTCTTTCTAATTTCATTTAAGAAAAATTAAACTTACAATCACGTGGTGGTGCATGTTCTAATTGTTTAATATAATTTTCACGTGTCATTGTACATTGTTCACAAGGTGTTTGATCACATGAACGTGATTCATTCAATGGCTTCGAACATGTTGTACCATTTAAGACTGAACGTGATCGATATTGATAACGATTAGGTTGACATTCAGGTGAGCATATTGACCAAGGTCCCCATTCACTAAGAATACAAGGTAAAGTTGTACTAGTCGACGAAACTTTTGTATATGGTGTTGTAATTGATGTTGAAATTGTTGTTACTAAAAAAACAAAAAAGAATAAGTTAGATAATTGTTAATTTTGACTATTTATTATTTTTAGTTCGAAAAAAATCTGTTTTTTTATCTTACCTGATGGTGGAAAGCATCCAATAATACCTAACTTAATAGATTTTGTATCACGTGTAAATTGAAATTGTAATTCAGTAGCATATAAATTATCAAATGTTGTTCTATTACTTGTTAATGTTGCAAATGGTTCCCATACGTTTTCATCTTTTGTTTTTCTTGATAATGTAGCTGAGAGAAAATTTTTTGCTGTTATTATTATTTCACCAATAGCTATTGGAGATGTATCCTTTGTTAGTGTTATTGTTACTTTATCATCTGTTAATGTTGGTGTGTAACCTGGACTCGTTTCGGTTAAACGTATTCGATCACCAATTGATACATCTTTGCTGTTGACAATGTTTTTATTCGGAAGTATGTTTACATCAGTCATACCATCTGTTATTAGACATTTTTCACTTGTTGTATAGGTAGATATAGTCGTTGTTGATAACGGAGTAACTACAACGAAATAGATCAATATTACAAAAAAGTTTAGATATAGTTATTGAAACAAAATTATATATTTTCGTCAAGAATGCTATACACATTTTCATAATGTGTAGAACTGAGAAGAGAACCTCTCTAAACATCAAATCGCTTTTTGACCGAGACGACGTTTATTTGATGAGTAATACAAAAAAGTCTAGAATGATTTGTTTTTCCGACTTTTCATTCTTAAGATATTGAAATTTTACTGAGTGTTTCAATGAAAAACTGTAGTCACCTGAAAAATCGACTGTTGAATTTTGACTTCAACCTTCACATTAATAAAGTTCTTAATGAGATTAGTTGATTCTGAAACTAGTATTTCCTTCCTGGAGATGTAAATATATGAACAAAATTTACTTTTACAAATAAAAGAATTTCGAATATTGAATATCTCAGAATAGGAAATACTAGAAAAGTTACAACTTATCCAATGAATTAATCTCATTGAGAACTTTGCTCGTACAAAGTTTGAAGTCGAAAATCGAAAGTTGATTTTTCACGAGACCACAGCTTTATGTTGAAAAACTCAGTTAAATTTCAATATCTCAAGCACGAACACTTGGAAAATGAAACCATTCTAGACTTTTCTATTACTCATCAAATGAATATCGACTCGGTCGGAAAGGAATTTGATACCTGGATGAGTTTCCTCGTGAGTAGTGAACTTTTGAGAATATGGACTAGTCAATTCATCGGTCAATATCAACAAAAGTTATGTTGTTCATCGCATTCTACAAAACTATTTTGTTTGAATGTTGAAATCATCGATTTTGAATCTTTCATTTAAAGCTTATAATGTGTTAGATGACTTGTGAAGTAGTGTACTCCTTACAAGATGTCTTAGAGTTATGCTCAGTATCTACAATAAGAAAAGAAAAGTAACTGAACTTTTGTCTTCTAAATTCTGTGTTTGTTTTTGAGAGATTTTTCTCTTTTTAATTTTTCCTAATTGTTTTTCTATCTGAACAAAATTAAATGGAAATGATGTTCAAGTTGTATTCTAACTTTATTTACAGAACTCGTATGCATAGTTAGCATGTAATCAATCAATATTTCAGAAAAGTTCAAGCAGTCTAGTGAATAAAACTGTTTTTGGTAGTATCTAGGTGGATATCGGCACTGAATTTTGAGTCTCAATGCATGCTGTATGTCAATAACATAAGCGGAAGGTGTGGTATTTTTCTTTCCTTTTGTTTACTTGATATTCAAACTATTATCTAATATATTTTTTATTTGTGAATGTCCTATGAAAACATTATATCGTATAGAAATCCTATGTACTTTGTATTCGAATTTTAACACAAATCTCTTATAATTCCAAATGTTGAAGATATTAAAAGAACTAGATGATACACGACCCGAATGTCGATTATCGAGGAGTCAATAATTCTTAAAAAACCAAAAAAACCGTTTCTACGTTCCGAACGAATATTTACAGCTTACTAGAATCATTTTGTTTTCTGACGATATAGACAGAAAAGTTACCTTTCGATCAATCAACTCATCGATCCCGAAAGCAAATTAAAAAGCAGACAACGCTAAACTCATTATCATGAGAACTCTAGCAATGTATATCAACATTCTGCTCTAACATCTGTAATGCGTGACTTGAATAATTTAAAGAAAATGACGGCAAACTTTTTATATTATCATCGTTTTAATTATTTTGAATCTTGAAGAAAAAAAATAAAGTTAATAGTTTCATGAAATTGTAATAGTGTCGTTTTATGAAAATATATGAAATGATGACTATATGGAATCCGGAATATTGTCGATATAAATATATCAAAGTACTTAGGTAACTGATTCGAAGAAAGGACAAATATGAACATCGATCTGAAACAATAGCTAGAGCTGTGCAGTTAGTTTTTTCCAGTGTTAACTAAGACAATATTATCAGATTTTCTGCAAGATTTATCAACAATTGAATGAATAATTAGATAGAGAAAAGATCAATGTTATCGAATGAAATGAACACGATTAAGTCAAAAACAAAACGGGATTTTTGCAGCAATCATTTCGATTTGTTTTTGCAAAGTTCATCTTAGTGTTGTTCGAAAATACTCTCAATACTCAAAAACATGATGTAACAAAATTTGTTTAAATACATGATTAAAAAGAGCTTTTAATGTAGGTTTTGAATAAGTGTTATTGATTTTTCAAAATAACGCTTTAACCGATGAAAAATGTAACAATATTATTCCAGAAACCTCTGTATTATTTGTTAAGTCCTGTGCTTCGCATCCCATGAAAAAACTTTACTATCGTTAGCACTCTACAACAATTAAATAGCTAAGCAATGATTAGACGCTATATTGATAAAATTTCTCATAAAATCAGAACTATTTAACTGATATTAAAAAAAATCGGTGTATCAAAATTTTATCGCACAAAATTTCAATTACCTTCAAAGAAACATCCAACCACATCAAGAGTAACATTTTTCGGACTCTGTCTATCTGATGTTGCAATAAGATGGACAACAACTTTTAACACATCATTAACGTCTAAATCTTTAGCAAGTCGCGGTATATTATCTGATGATGTATATGAAGTAATTAGACGTCCTAATGGATTGAAAAATTCCACGAATATTTGTTGTACATTTGATTGACTTTCAGGTGGAATTTGAACAAAAGATATACTTCCAACACGATTAAATAATATAGTTATATTTGGACGCAATTCTGTTTTCGGAAAATCAAGACCATTTCGACCAGGTGCAAGATTGTTTACGTTAGCATTCAATGATGATGGATAAGTAAATATGTTACCAATAACACCTATATTAGGATTCATTGTTTGAACTTTCGCACAAGTACCAGCTCGAGTAGAAGTTGATGTTGATAAAGTAGTACGACTTATACCAGTACTTTTTGTAGTTAACAAACTAGTACTACTCGTTTGAATACTCGATGTAGTATAATCTAGATAAAAACAAATAACAATGTAATACATTCAAAATCTTTGCTTATCAAGTTTCTTACATGCATGAACACATCCAATAACTTCCAGAGTAACATTTCTAGGTGTATTTCCATCAGTTGTATTGATTAATTTAATCTCAAATGCTCCAACAGGTACTTTGGGTACGAGTTGTTCTAACTGAAAAAAAAAGAATTTCATCTTTCTATAAAGTAAAATAAAAATCATACTATTGTAACACCAGGAGTTGTTTCAACAACCCATTTTGCACCCAGTGAATTTCGAAGAACCTGACCATCTGTACCAAAGAATGTTAATTCAATTTGATTTACGTTTGTTGCACCACGATTATTTGGTACTGCGACCGAGATAATCTGTGAAACAAGTGTATGATTTAGTTTAACCGAAAGTGTTGGTTGTTGAGTATTTGGAAATGTAACACCAGTTGTATCAGAACGTAATGAAAGTCTGGACATAGTAAGTTTTGTTTCAATTTGTTTAATTGATAAAACAACATCATCATGATACATAATATCTTCTGAATAACATGGAGTAGTGATGGTTGTTACAATCCGCTCAGTAGTTCCTGAAAAAAATTTAATTTAAACAAAAATGTGCCATTGAGAATTTTTTATCCAGTTATGTGGCAAAATAATTTTATCTAAATTATAGTGAAACTTGTAACAAGAAATGCTTGTTTGCGTCAAAGAAGCTATGCCTATTTTATGATCTTACATAAGACTCCAAAACTAGAAATCTAATCTAACTTCGCAGGAATTAAGATTACATCAGCTAAAAAAGAAATATGTTTGAACGCAGAGTTGAAACTGTACATGTAAAAGAACACTCTGTAGAGTCGCAATTCGATTAACTAAGAAGGGTCGCATTCGAAGACAATATCAAAATTACGTCAGTAAGCCATTCAAGTACCTTTACTTTTCAACTAGTGACATGCTTATTCTTCACCTGTTAAGTAAAGGACGAAATATGCTACTATACAGCTTCAAAAAAATAATTTTCTAGACACAACTCCAACACACTTCGAAATCTAACTGTTACTGTTGCTCAGTAATTTTCCATGAAGAATTTTTTCTTTTATGATATGATTTCGGACTACTTTGATATGGTTTTTTCTCGACACTACTCATTCACGAGACAATTAAAGTATCTTCAATGTTCAATAGAATAGCAATGATAAATTCAGAGTTTCAAAGTAGAAGCTGCTCTTTTCTTATAACCGATTTTTCGCGTACTCCGAAAACCTTTTCGAAATTTTGCAAAGCTCCATACACAGATCAACGAACAAACCACCACTAACTTAGAAACAAAGCTCTAATAACTTTTATTTTCGACGACCAACGTGAGGATCGAATTCTCAAAGTCAAAATCTTGCAACACTAATGCATTTCACAAATCGTCGTAAGCCGCTTGAAAAAACTGATGGTAAACTGTTTACTCACGTTATAGCTCTTATTGTTTCTACAACAAACCTTGCATAGTAAGCGCTCAATCGATGTCATATAAAAAACTAAACATATTTCATTATTCTGATTTCCTATTTTCTCATCACAAGCAAGACTTCACTAAAATTTCATTCTACAATATACACACAGAAAAAAAACTATTCTTTAGGCAAAGGCGAACAACGCATTATTCTTTCTATAACAAAAAGAAAAAAACCCTTACCTGTAAATGTAGACGCAGCGCCACTAACAGTTGACGTTTCCCCTTTTCCAGTCACACCAGTCCAAAACGATGTCGTGCCAACACTGCCCGGTGCGCTCGAAGTACTACTAGCAGTTCGCGTTCCAAGAACTGTTGTACCAGGACTACCGCTAGAGACAGCAGGTATTCCTGTAGTACTT